GAACAAGGGAAAATAAAATAGTTTAAACCAGCCCACTGCCAACGCAGTTATAGATGTACTCCTAATAAGTGATTAGCTGCAAAAAAAAGTACGCAATAAACTTGTAGAAAATAAAGCTCAAACAAATATTGCAATAAAACATAAACATAATGTGTTAAAACACCTATTGCAATAAAGTAGAGTAACTAAAGCAGCAAATGATGCTAGGGCAGTCATTATAGATGTGTGCCCTTTCCTACAGACTTACAGTAGTTGGGAGTGAGAGGCCAAGAGGCAGGAGTATTATTGTATGTCAAATAAAGGTTTGGTGGATGAGTAAAACTGAAACACTGGTTTAATAAAAGAACATACATCAGAAAATGCATAAAGGTAAAGTGTAGTATCCACATTGTTGGAAATATGAAATCTGCATTGCTTTAACTTGCTACGTTCAGTTTAGGTGGCACTTGGTTATCCTACTGTGTTTTTCACACTGTAGAATGAAGCCACAGCAACTGGAAGAGGACACAGGGTAAAATGCTAACATCATGCGCAAAAAATGCCCTTTTGGGAATTCAGCTCAGAACCCCTAGTATTTGGTGCTAGCGTGACATGTCAGCAAGGCTGTGCATTGCTATATTTGTCATACCTATTCCTTTGCAAGCAGCAACTTTGAGAAAGTTGGTATTTACATTGCTTTGTCTGGAAGATCTATGTGGTGCTGGACGACACTGATTACGTAGCAACTGCTACGGTCATAATTTGTCACCTCCAGTATCTCTTGCTAATATTAGTATGCAAATTTGATTTAACTATATGTTTACTGCACCCAGTGGGGAAGTGTTGAATACTGTGTTTAATGGGAGCACTGATTTTAGCTAGAACCAGCATTAAAGTGACACTAAATTCAGACGTTCAGACATTATGCCTGCGGTCTGGTGCAATCAAAATGCTGCAAGCACTATTTTGATCGCACCGTACGGACCACAATGTCCCTTGCGATCCCATGCGGCCAATCGAGCTTTCTCTGAACTTTGCCAGAAACTACTTGAAGCAGACCAGCCATGAGGACAGTCAGAAGAGATGATTACATTCACTATGTTGTAAAATGTCATTATTTCCTTTGTGTTACAGCTGGCCTCTGCACTCTGCGTTACAACTGACCTGTGCACTTCGGCAATTTAATATTTCAAATCGGTTCAACTGCGTTAGGTCCCGTGCAATAGCCTTCTGGGGAACCACACGGCGGCCACTTAGAGGGCTTCCGCCGCTTGCACATCTTTCCCTTCTGAGGACTTCTGCAACCCTTCTAGGACCCTCCGCACCCCTCCTGAGACCCTCTGCCCGAGACATCAGGCCGGCACCTCAGAGCAGAGCGCCAGCACACAGCATGTACCAAATTCATATACTATTATTCTGCATTGCTGTATAATGTATTGCTGGGATTTGTAGTCCTCTATAGCTGATGGTATTCTGCTTAAGAGTGTAAGCTCCTCTGTAAAGAGACTGATGTGACTGGCTCAGTATTCTCTGTACAGCACTGTTTCACCCCTGGGTCTCACTGCTCATCTTGGCAGGCCTCAAACATTCTCCTCCAGCAGTCCTTTCTACTCTGACTCTTTCACAGGGACCTGAGATATATACTTTACAGATACATATTATACTTTACAGAGACATACTTTACTCTTTCAGTGTGGACACTTTTGCATGGTTGCATCTTTATTTTTTAATCCCAAATTTCTTAAAAGGCTACACACTCCATTTTAATGCTTATAGAACTTTTACCACAACCTTCTCAAATGCAGAACATAATATCTTGATCGTCAGATCATGCACACTTATTAACGTTATCAACATTACTTCAGTACTGGTTGATGCATTTCTTCCTAAAAAGAATTTTCTTTCAACTTTCCAGAGGATAAGGAATCTTTTGCTCAATTCTGTTGAGCAATTAAATGGTGGACTAATGCAAAGTTGTTATTGCTGTTACTGTCTTTAACAGAATGACCTCCCCCTCCAAGTGACCAGCACCTCCAAACAGGGACTAAGACCTGCAATAATATACTACATTGGTTAGAAATGAGGCCAATCTTTTGTAAAACCCCCAAGCCTTTTATAAGCGGTTTAACCTTAATTTCCACTATAAAAGGAAATGTTATCAACCAGATTAATTTGAGATAGGGCTAGATGCTTTAGTTCTCACCTTCAGCACCAGATTCCGATGCAATAAGCCAATCACCTATCCATCTTATAATAGCTAATTGTTGACACTTGCATTCACATTCATTGTTTTTTGTTGACAGAAAATTAAATGGAACGATATTTCAGCAATAAAACCTGACTTCATAACATGCTTATAGTGAAGCCTAAACTCTCCATCTACATACTTATTCTGGATCGGTGACTAGGAAATATTGAAACTATTGACTCAGTATAAGAGCCAGGCAACTAGCATTTTCAGGATAAGAGGCCAGGAATGGTAACCGCAATGTTTCTTTCAAGAATGGTTTTCCTTACTACTTCAGGCCACCAGCTTGTTAAACTCACTTCCTGCCCATGCCATCTTTTAGTTTTCAGCACTATTCGAACGATCCAATGGTTTGGATTAATCCTCAACCCTTCAGAAGTGATGGAACTAACTCATTGTCTAGAGTATATAGGCCTTCCCCTGGATACTTCCCAGTCTAAGGTTTTTTCTTCCTCCAAACTCCTAACTCTCTGCTCCCATGTTTGGACCCTATGGTCTAACAGCCACCCGACTCTCTGCTTCTGCATGAGAGTCCTGGGTCTGATGGCAGCCTCCTTTGAGGGGGTCCTATATGCCCAATTCCACTCTAGACTGTTACAACTTAACATTCTGGCAGCAAAGGACAAGCAGCATTGTCTCTGGATCATACGGTGCGTCTGCCATCCAGCACCAATATATTACATTTTTGTTCTTAAATTTAGATATACTTTAAGGCCTGGTTCACACCTGGGCGTTTTACAGCGCATTCCTACGCGCTGTAAAACGCTCAACATGTGAAAACCAATAATTGCCTATGGGCATGGTTCCCACCTGGGCGTTTTACAGTGCGTAGGAAAGGAGCTGAAAAACGCCATACGCCCAAAGAAGTACAGGAGCTTCTTTGGGGCGTATTTGCAGTGCATATCCATTAGGATACAGCCAGAGAGCCCTCAGAAACGAGTGTTTGTCGCGCATTTCTTTTACCGCAAATCACTGTAAATAGTGCGGCACGAAACGCGCGGCAAATGCGCATATTCCGTACGCCCAGGTGTGAACCCAGGGCAACTGGCTTTTTGTTTACCTGAGAACTGCTTCTCTCTCCATACATGTCAATGGAAATACAAACACAACTTGAAGCAGGATGATTCAGCTTAGAATGAAGTGAACTTCAGGTCAAATGCACCTGTTAATGAACTGTGAATTATGTCAGAAGTGCCTCAAACTGATGTCAAATCTGTGGAGAATGCACCTGAAAGCATGCTACATTTGCCCTTCGACACAATGACTTGTACAGATATACACTTACAAGACATGTAAAAGACACCAGAAGAATACAATTTCTTCTAATTTTGCTGCCTAACAGAGATATCTGTATAAAACATAACATCAGACATCATATGCTTGGTTTTATGTGAATTTTATTTTAGCAGTGAACTCACTTTAACACTTTAAATTAACTTATTCTGACAAGCAGAATGCATGATTCACACATGTAGGAAAATGGAGGTTTACAAAATAAAACACTGAAATATTTATAATTTATATACATTTTATATATTAACTTTTTGAGTGGGAGGGGAAGGAAATATTACTTTTAAAGACAATACAAAATATATGTATAAATACACACACATACATATGCATGTGTAAGTTTCCGTATATTCATAAATATACTGAGCAATGAATTGTCCCATCACATTACGATATCAGTGTGATGTCACTAATGATGTGCAGTCTATAATCTTGCTTAAAGACCTACTCAGTTAAAAGATGAATAAAGCTAGAGCTGTGTTAAGGTATTTTTTATAATATAATGCAGTTCTGAGTATGTGGCAATGTGGTATGTTCTGGAGGCAAGGAGATTACTTCTCTGTGCTTGGTTTGCATGTAAAATGTAGCATCTTTATACTTAGCTTATTCATAAGGCATACAGGCCCTTTAAAGCTATACACCTCCCAACCAATATTGCATATATTAGTACTGGAGATTTTTGGTTGGGGATCATATGGCAGCTATGTGTGAAATATTTAGTATAATAAATTTCTTGTAATGATATATACAAATGCAGAATAATGTATCACTTATTTTCTACACATATGAATTTGGCATTCAAAGACATACACATTTATAAATATTATAT